TCCATGCTTGACCTTCGTGCTTGACATCGTATGAGACGATCCCTGATGTCTACAGTGCAAGCTACTCAGGAGCGCGTTGCATACAATTTTGCAGTGTTCGAGAGCGGGACGCAGGCATGCTGTCCCAATCGGCGCTATTTGGACGTGGCCAAATCGCGGAAGTCTTCCTCTCGCCGCTCCGCAGAAGGCGAGTAGGGTTTGGAATGGAGGCCTTCTTTGGCTGTGCAAGGCGCGACTCCCAGCTGTGCTTGGGCGCATGCTGGAACTTCGCCTCCTCGTGCATGATGACCCTCCCGTTACTCCATGCTTAACGCGTCTCCTCAGCGTTGATGAAGGGCGGGCTGCATCGTGGTGGGGCTGACATCGTGCTTCGTCTCGCTCCGCCGACCGCCGCCTCAACTTCACCACACACACGACCACAACGCCATCATAGGAGTGCGGCTACTCGCCAAACCTTGACCAGAGCCTTTTCAAGCGCGAAAACCTCTACTGCAACGGCTTTCTCGAAACCCATCATGCCCCGCGACAGCAGGCTCGTTCAACATCTTTTCACGGCAACGACCCACGACATCGCGCCACGAGCCCCTCGACCCCCAGACCAACGAGAAGAAGATCAGCGAGCTTCTCATACATCAGAGCATCACAGGCGACGGGCAGGATCGCGCGAGGTCTCTTCGAAGCCATGGCTAGCATCCTCTCACCCCTGACGGAAAGTTCACTCACCCCAAGGCAAAGCCAGCCGACGGAGTGGCAAGCTACTGCGCGACCTTTACTGATGATCGACAGACGAGCGACTTCCTGGCAACGAGCAGTAGCGATACGATACGCCCATGTGCGGCTTGCTCACTCCCGGGGTGGTGGGCTCCTCCGCGGCGTTGAGAACGAGCTTGATGACTTTTGCTGCCCCAAGACGGCGACTGGACACACCAGATCTGAGGCCGATGTGGAAGATGCAAGAGCGACTGACAAAGGAGACAGTGATCTAGAGCCAACTTTGGGCACGCCCTACGACCATTCCAAATCGCCGCCCTCCTCGCGCACAACCTCCGACGAAGCCGCAGAGCGCCTCTGCCCTAGACCAGTACCGCCAATGTGTCTTGGTCGCAAGGCAAACACAAGGCTTGGATGAGCTGCATACCGAACGCGAGAGCGGCGACGGGTCAGACAACAGCGAGATAGAAGAGGCACTCCTTGGATGAAGGGCAGCTCGACGAAACGGCGGCGAAGGCTCCAAACGCGACAGATACCGGCGACAAGCCACAGCGACATTCGAGCGGCATATCTGCTTTCTCGCGCATGCACACTGCAGCCGTGGAATGCGGTCAACGAATCGCGACCGGTTTGCTTGAATGGCGCTTGCTACACTATCGACTGCGGACAGCCTCAAGCTTGAGACGCCCAGCAGCACAAGACGAGGGCACGAGCCTTAGGACGTCGGAGTAGGAGAACGTGCGCAAGACAGCGCGACGTTTCGCCCGTAAACCTCGCACGACGGAACAAGGCGTTCCTTACTGCGCATCCTCAGCGATCGAGCATCCAGCCGACCGTGCCGAGAGTCTTCGGCAAGGACCAAGGAGCCGCAGAATCGACGCGACACCTGGAACGATGGACAGCGTCGGAACGTGTTCATCATAGCACGAGACAGCCAATATAAGCGCTTTCGATGTCAGACATTGCGAAGCCGGCCATACTCCCGTCAGGTGGGCAAGATCTGGCTTTCAGAAGCAATGTCTTGGGGCTCAATGTCATCAGGAGCTCGGAGCGGCGATGGGCACAGCATCGGGGTTGCGCATGACCATGGCTACGATACGTATGAGCATGCCGTGATGAGATACGAATAGTTTGCGCAGCGTTATGCTGCTCACAGGACGACTTCCACGGTATGCGACGCCCTCACGACAAAATTCTGAAGGCCATGGCGCAAAGCTTTCCAGGTGCATGCCGCGTCAGTATTTTCCCAGCTCTTTCTATCGCCAGCGAGATGAACGATGATACACCGGTTTTACGGGACGAAGGAAGATGAGTTGGCGAGCTTCTTGATGAAGTTTGCGAAGAAGGGGCGAAGACGTGCGGTCGGAAGTCCGGGAAGGATGACGCGCGGAAGCGAGTGTGGGTCGCCATCTTCCGCCCAGCCACCGTCGACGTGCAGCCGCAGACCATCTCTTGCCATCCTCACGGGCGATGTGGCATCTCCAAAATGCTTCGCCACTATCGCCATCGACAATGAGTACATTCTGGTATGGTCCAGAGCAGGCAAACGTCAGCAAACATCCGATGATGAAGAGGGGGGTTACATACCGCTGCGAAGGTGGCAACACTCATTCGTTCACGACGCGATGCACGAGGCCCGCGGGCTAATGAAGACATGTGGTTTATTGTAGATAGATTGGAGAACTTCATGCGCATTTGAACCTCAACTCGAAACCAAGACGTCGCACATATCCCATCGCCAAATCCGTTTCCACCAGCCGCCACAAACTTCCAACACACCGCGCCGGGGTTTCCGACAACTTCCACCACTCTTTACCATTCATACACTGTGACCTTTCGCGTTCGGCCTCTCGCTATTTCCCACAAGTCGGACTGGTAATGTGGCTCTTCGATCCATCTCTTCCGCGCGGTTGATTTGGGGTTGTCTCTAGCATGATCGCCGCTGACCATCGCGTTGTAGATGCGCTCTACGTTGCGGTTGCGATCGCGTTGTAGATGCGCTCTACGTTTCGGTTGCGATCGCGTTCGAACCAGCTCGATAGTCGGGTCAGTGGCAGGATACCTCCCGGTTCTGATCCTTACATCTGGAATATCCTTCCGCTTGGAATACGCCTTAGGTGCGTTGACGAACATGCGGATCTGCAACGCCGAGCACATGACGTTCTCGCAGATGCACTTCTCTTGTGCGAGGGCGTTGACGATGTCCTGTCGGCCAGGAAGCCGAGGTCTTTGTCCGTTTCCTGGATGGTGTCGACATGGACGACGTTGCAGGGTTCACCGATCCAACCCCCTAGAGATGAGGTCGACCTGGTTCTTGATGTCCTCATAGTCGTCGTTGGTGAACTCCCACACAGCGTGCTCGGGGTTCGCGTCGATGAACATTGACAAGAACATCTGGCCTTCGTACGGTTGGATATCGCGGATGTCCTTGGCCATGGAGCGCGCGAGGTCGTCCATAGTGGCGTAATGGGTGGCGAAACCCGGTCCTCGTCCTCGTCGGATCCTTCTTTCTTCCACGGCCGGCCAGCCTCACAACATACAACTACTTGCGCTGACGTTTGTTTGCTGCATTGTGAGGCTGGCCTTTTCGTTCCTTTTCGACACAGCGTTGGGAGCGGCGCCGCAGAGGTGCCATGCGAACCCAAGACAGAACACTCCATACGGCGCTCAGTACCGAGCCCGACGGCAGTATTCTGCATCAGGTCGCAGGCGACCTGAGGCGCCAACCACCCACCGGGGGACCCGATGGGTGTGAAGGCGGCTTACACCGGCCGAAGCCTAGCAAAGTTAGCTCATGTCTTATCTGCGGTTTGGATAGGATGTTGTTTGGACGTACCGCTGCGGTGCCATGCTAGAATGTTCCGTGGATGGCATAGGCGCGAGCGATCCTCCCATAACGAACACATTCGTCCCACGAGTCTACAAAGGCGAACTCGAGGTTCTTGGGACCAATGTGCTCGTTGTAGAAGTTGCTCAAGCGCTCTACGACACCCACGGATGGAACCGGCGTTGCGGACTTGGTCCCATGTGAGGGTTGCCACGGTCTCCGTCACCGCGCCGAATGATGTCAGCGTCTTACGATTTCCCACGAAGACCAAGGCTAGAAGCTTTTACGAACGAACAACTCTGCGCAACGAGTTCAATGCCGATGGTGGATAGGGCCCCGACCTCGCTCATATCCAGTCGCCCCCAACCGAATAACTTGGGACGTCCTTGATGATACTCGGCGTTCGTAACTTTGAACTCTTCATCAGACTATGCTTGTCAGTAGCTGGACGAGAGTATGCGAAAAGTACTCACGAGTGGCTTCTTCCGCGCCTTGCGCTTCTTCTTGCCGGAGGGACTCTGATCTTCCAAGTCGGCAACAACAGCTGCACCTGCGCGGCTCGCACCGCAGCGGAGACAGGCGGTGTTCTTCGCAAAGTTGTGGTAGCTGCCGTCTCTCTCTTTACACGACCAGGGCGATGGTATCATTCCCCGTTCAAGCATCTAAGCCTGCGTATCAACCTCCATCCCGTATCCTACTCGTGTCCAAAGCTATACGTCGATCCTTGGCTTTGACAGGTGGTTACTCTGAATCGCTGTCAGGAACATCGCCACGGCCAGACTTCTTGAAGCGCGGCTTGTCCTCGGCAAGCAGAAGCACTTGATCGCGTCCGTCGTATCTCTGGCCGCCGAATTTCCAGGCCACAAACTTCTCTGCGTCCTACATGATGCAGGAAGCTTTCGCGGAGGTCATCAGGGCAGCTGCATGGCGTGTTGTCATTGCGCCAACCCCATTAGGGGAAGGCGACTTACTGCTTGCAGGTCCAGAACGCAATTGGACGTCCGCCGAATTGAGTGAACCAGCTCTCTAGTTCTGATTGGGTAGTGTCGTGGGGGAGGCCGCTCGTGTGCAGAACCTTGCTTCGCTCTGACAAGAAAGCGCGAACGTCGGCGCGAGCGTCCATCGGCTTGGTCAAGACGTCGGGGTGGCCTTGTGGTAGCCACAGCCGTTCTCTCCGCACTTCCAGTCTCCAACCCTAAAGGGCACAGCGCCGGTGCCACCGCGCATATGTCCACCACCCATTCCGTGGCCGTGGCCATGACCCATGTGGTGTTGAGGGGGGCCCAGCCCTAAAGGGTACAGCGCCGGTGCCACCGCGCATATGTCCGCCACCCATGCCGTGGTCGTTTCCGGTATGGCGACCCGCCAACACGAGTTCTCTTCTGGTATCGAACTTCTTGATGGGGTGTTCTCGTGTTGACGGGCTTCACGAGGACCGACTCGCGATGCAGCTGTTGTTGAGTTAGCGCTTGAGGTCGGCATTGGATCGGACGGACGTACCTCTTCGCACGACTTTGCCGTTGAACTTGCCCTCCTCGTCTTTGTACATGTTGATTCGAGGCTGAGGAGGGCAAGTCCTGTTCTCAGGAACATGACAAAGAGGTTCGGCGCAGGCTTTCTTGTTCGGCTGCATAATGTTAGCGAGTGATCTAAACGCTTGAGACGGTACTAACCTCGGGCTCCTTCTCGGCCTTTCGCTTCTTGCCAGCTTGCGGCTCTGGCGGTGCACAAGAGTGCGTATATATCGAAATAGCGCCATATTGTCGCACTCAACACTTGCGAACGGCCTCGGGGAGCTTGACATTTGCGTGCGGCGCCTGGTGCAGCTGCCCTCTCCGTGCGACGGCAAAGAATTGGTGGTAGATGTCCATGCGGTCGTTCTCGTGCTCGTCGCACGGGTACATGTAGAGGCCTCTCCGGAAGCCATGATACCAGCGGCCGTTTTCCATGTAGTTGCTGGTTTGGTTCGTTCTGACTGGCAGTGCTCCATGGCCCAGTAGAGGGGATCGTTGGGGTCGAAGTCGCTCACGCCCTGGAGGTTGAGAGATTCGGGCCATGCGTGTTAGCCATGATATCTTGAAGGTAGGCTGCGGGTACGCTTCGTTCTTGCTCAGGTGCCGGACCGCATGCACCGCACCCCGAAGACGTTCACCGTTCTTGCTGAGGTCCACGATGCGGGCATGCTTCTCCTTGAGCTGTGTTAGTAAGTTCTAGTGCGGAGATTGCTAACAGAGCACATACCTTGAGCAGCGCCCGACATGATGTCTTGGAGGTGAAGTCGAAGTAGTTCTCTTCGTAGAAAACTTGGAGAGCGACTGCCTGGAATTGGCGAGAGACGAACTACTCCGACTCCACCTCATGGCGAAGCGGGTGGCGTTGATGAGCCGCCCGTTCATGCAGAGCGATTCCGCAGCCTATTCAATATTAGCAAAAGCGGGTAGATTGCTAACGCGGTACATACCTCTTCATGGGACGCGAGGATGGTAAACCCAGTTCCGGTGGGCTTGTGCTGGTCAGGAGTGCGGAGGGACCTGCCCGAAGGCGAGACTGAATAGTATGTTAGTATGCAAGAGATGGAGCAAGGTTTTAAAAGAAGAGTCAAAAGAGTACTGGAGGGGAGAGAGCAAGACGTTGCCAAATGCGGGGTTGAAGGCGCCTCGCAGCGACTTGGGGCAGGATGGGTATATCGCGCGATCCACAGTACAGAGCGCGAAGAGAGTACAGCGCTCAAGCAGGCAAGCAGTGTGAGTATGACTTACCAGGTACGTCGTCATCGAGGAGGTGGCGCACAAGCGTGCATGAGTGCACGTATCAGGCTCGAAAAAGCCTTGCGTTCGCCCGCCGGCGCTGATGAGATTGTCAGAGAGTGCACGAAGAGACTTAGAGCGGAGCGAAGGATTGACTTACGTATCGTGGGGCAGACCGCTCATGTGGAGCACTTTGCTGCGCTCCGACAGGAAGCCACAAGGGCGCTGTAGAGCTCCCAGGTTTGCTTGAAGCTTTGGTGGTGGGTGGTTGAAGAGTTGGAGGGGGAGGTCGGTGGACGAGCTTATATGGCAGCCCTGGCCAGGCCGCCAGGCTCGCAGCTAAGGCTCGCGGCCTCACCATCACCACCACTTGGCATCAATGGATGTTCCAGATGCCCCTGACGTCGTATCGACACCGGGAAAGTTGGAGGAGCTTGCGGCGGGCTTCACGGTGCTTGTCGTACTGCCCTTCGGGCTCTGGGGAGGAGGGGTGTTAAGGTATAGACAGGCTTGAGGGGAGACTCAATAACCTGGACCCTGAGCTTTCAGATAGCACTAGGGGTGAAGCAGAGGAGCAGTTGCGACCGTGCGCGGTGGCGGAGGCTCACCCCAAGGGTGTAAATGTGGGAGTGCAACTCCACCACGTCGAGAAAGAAACACCAGAAAAGCTCGAGGAGGATATAGTGAGCTCTGCACTGCTTTTGGCACTCCCCAGATATTTTTTGGTCTGGTGGTGGTGAAGATACAGCGTGGAGGGGGTGGGTTGACCGAGAGTCCTCCGTAAAAACCAGCTGAGGGAGCAGAGGAACACCAAAGTTTTCGCTGAGAGCTTCACATAGGGGAACTGGCAGGCTCATGCAACACGGCAGCAGATGTCTGTGAGGGTCGACAGAGCACGCCAGCGAAGCCTTGAACCGTACCTTTCTCCTCACACTTTTTTGGACAGAATTGACAAAGTGGTTGTGGAACCGCAGCTCGGACACGGAGGAACCCTCGAGACTTGGGGGCAAATCACTGCCTTGCGGCTTTGAGAACATCGAGTTGGCCGCGGAGGTGGCGGGCGGTGCAACACCAAGACCACAGCGCCGGCCTGCGGCGTCACGCCCATGAGCAGCTACCGAACATCGAACGCCCCCGGGCTTGCCTACACCAACATCTATACCCTCCGTCTTCTCTAGGCCAGATTGCTTATGCTTCCGTAGAGCTACCGCCTCGAGAACGCGAACAGCCCACGACGATTCACCGCAAACCCAGCCCACCGAAGAGTCCGAACCCGCAATCGGCAGCAGAGCTCCGTATTAGAGACATTCTGGGATGCATGTTCGAGGCCTTGCAGCATGTCAATGTCACTTCACCTTGTGGGACACATGTCAGCGGCTGAGGGTCCAGGGTCCTGTACAGACAGAGATGAGGACGGCGAACAGCTTTGGGTTTACGAAGAGGATCATACCAGGGTGGCGAGGGTACTACAACGTAGAGCTGAGATACCATGCGGCCTTCGCAAGCCAGAGTTCACGAAGACAGGCGGTAGAGACTTTAGCATGCATCATACATGAATGGATCAAGACGTTTACGTGGATATCACACAGGCACGAACAGGATCAGCGATTACAATGTATGCGTCGAGGGTACTGCAGGGCTATGCACAATTCCACAAAGATCGAGTACCGAGTCGGCGAATGCATTCCTCACGAGGCTGTTGACGAGAGTAGCAAGGAGGCCACAATCCGAGTCTGATGATCAATATATGGATGCCATGACCGCCAGGGTTATACATGGGTATACTGGGGGCGGCAGACATGGCCTATATGTCTACTAGAGGCGACATGACCTTGGGGATGTCATGGTTGCGGTTACTGAAATCCTTTGTCTACGACAGGGTCCCTCGTGATCGGTGCAAGAGACTTTACGTAAGCCAATGTGGTATTATCTACTGAGCAAGGTCATCGTCTTTCAGATGCATTCATTATGGTATCTTAGCACAACTACATATCCCCGCATCATCCGTACATGGTCAGGAAGACACGCAAGCCAGCCACCCGCCTACTCAAACTCAACTCCTTCCATCGCATCCTCCTCGGGCAACGCCCACAACTCCCTCTCCAACCAGTTCCTCACCAGAGAACTCCCCACCGTCCCATCCTTCCAGTTCACCTTCCTCCAGCCCACTGGCTCCCCATCAAGGCCAACCGGCCACTTCTCCCAAACCTCCTCCAAATCTTCACCATCTACACTGTACGTCCACCAGCCTCTCGCAGCAGCCCGATGGCTTTCAGCCGGTTCCTCCTTCACCTGCTGCGTCTGCCCGTAAAGGGATGTATACATCCAGTCACCACCCGGAGGGTGTCCGGCGGGAGGGCCACGGGTGTCGCGGAGCGCGCTCAGACGCGCGATCTCGTCCTCGTAGAGACGCTTCAGAACGTGTTCGTTCTGAAGGGGGGTCAGGTGGGGGTGAGGAAGCGGCTTTTCGAGGTGGCCGATCCAGAGGGGGCAGTCTGATCCCTTCTCGAACGTGAGGCTTGAGATGGCGTCGGTGATCTGGGTCTTGATCTGGCTCATGTTAGTAATGATGGTATGTGTGATGGGATGGACGGGCTTACCTCTTCTTCGACCACCTCAGGAGTGGGAGTCGACGTTGCACCGACAGCAGGCTGTTTGCCCACGGCAGGAGGGTCTTGCGGAATACGACCCGAGTCGGGGTCGTCGATGTCGCTCTCAGAAGGACTCAAGACGCTGTCAGAGTCGGAATCTGACTTGTCGCCGTAGCCCAGAAAGGCCCTGTTGAGATGACGTCTAGTCCAGACAGGGTCGCCGCCAGCGGACAAGATGCCCTGGTGACGACGTTGTCCGTCCAGGACCCACTGCTGCTTCTTTGCCTCAGTCGCAGCCGCCTGCTCGAGCTTCTCTTGCTCTGCCTTGGCTTCGCGGTCGAAGAAGACTCTCAACCAGCACCGTTCATCGTCCGTGGCCTTGCCAGCCTGCCAAGCGGCGGTGATGCGGCTGGCCTTTTCAAAGTCGCGTCGCCACTGTGGCTTCTGCGCTTCCTCGATGATCTGACCAGTCTGAAGAGGGGTTGAAGTTAGCGGTTGCTTATCCTTGAATTGGAGTAATGGTAACTTACGAAGCCGACAGGAATGGGCGTCTCCTCAGGCAGCGAGGAGTACGCGAGTGCATGGCGACGGGCGGGCGTGTTCTTGTCCTGGACAAGCCCCGCGTAGTAGGCCGCGATGTCGCGACGATGTTGAGCGATGGAGTTGGGCGCCCTGCGCGCTTCGCGCTTGGTGCGAGCCATTTTGACTGAATGAAGAGGGTGTATAGAAAGGTATTATACGTGTAAGAAGGTGGGGTATAGAGAATTGAGGTAGAGTTGTGTTGGTGGGGTGGGAATATCGGTGGTGTGTGGGCGCTGAGGGAGTTTGTGCGTTTGTCGAGAAACTCTTTCAGTTTGGCGACCACAACGCCGCCTAGTTCTTCCGTCATCTGGTATTTTGCTTTGGCTTTCACACGACCTCCGCCGGCAGGAGCTTCAACGTATGGGCTTTCGCGTCGAGCGGTCGCGCTCAGTCTCTGCTATCAGATTAGTGTGCTGCACAACGGCGACGAGGATATATGAAGACTTACTGTTGATGGAGCAGTTCATGAGTTGCCTGCTTTGTTCAATTTAGGAGGGCCTCCCCGTGGTATAAGTAGTAGAGAGAGAGTGTTTGCAGAATATGCTCGCATCCACGAGACCGCCGGTCTGTTTGCCATCTTCTATCAGGCGTGATAGAGCATGTGAACCCAGACAATGGAATGACGTTTGCCAGGCTGACGTGATCACTCAAATTGACGCATAAGGTGAGATAAACGGTAGACAAACAGAATTGGATATGCATAGAGACATCAGGGGTATTATACAGGCGCTCATGGCGACATAAGAAATCCAACAACTCCGCGCTTCACATCATTCAACATCGTGATAAAAGGAAATGGGAATCAGCCCGACCCGCCGTATCGATGGGTGTACCAAGGGTGGCGCATTGGGTCGATCTAGACATGGTCGTGTCTTCCGAGCAGCTTGCCCTTCTTGCCGAGAGCCTTGGCCTCGCCCTGCTTGATCTTCGCGAGTCTCGCTCTATATACTCATTAGCAACCACTCAACATCGTATCCATTGCCCACGGTAGTACTTACTCCTCAGCAGCCTCACGCTCCAAACGATGAACATGCTCCCGCGCCTCCCTCACAGCGTTCTTGGCGACAAAGAGCGCACGGTCAGCGTCCCTCTCCGCAGCCTCAGCAGTCATCAAACTCTGCTTCGCAGTCGCAATGCTAGGGTCTCCGGAGCCGCGGCTGAACATGCCAGATGTACGCTTAGGGGACGAGGTGTATGTCGTGGTGGTGCGGCTGGTGGAGCTGCTATGGCGCGAATCCCTGTACGAAGGGGAAGAAGAGCGACGCCGAGAGAACATGGAGTGTTTCTGAGGAGGAGCAGGAGGGGGGCTAGGCTCCCGCTTGGATCCGAAGAGAGGCATGTCGTTGATTTGGTGTAGGAGTTATGAGAAGCTTCAAGATAATCGACAGGAGATCTGGACTGCGAGATGCGTGCTTGGCTAGACGGTGGAGATGATAAAGTCTGGAGATTTAGAGTTGAACATTCGGAATGCACATGCCGGGTCTTATATGTGAAGTCCTCCCTGTCATAGCGCTCGTCCGTCGTGTCTTCCCAGCTGTCTGTCAAGGTCGCGAAAGCAGGGTTCGGGAACCTGCATTGCGTGACGTCAATGCCCCAAAGCAGGGGGTGATCTGCGCCTCCAACATCACAGAAAGCAGCCGCATCGTCATCGCTAATCTGCGAGATGAATTGGGGACCAGAAAAAACGGTCATCGCGAAACGTTCATCACGATACTGTGAATTGATGCTTAGCGTGGTGTTGAAGTTTGTTGTGGGTCTGTGAGTACGCGTCCTGCGCCGGATGTGGTGCCGGAGGCACTTGGTGTACCGGACTTGAGGAAAGCTAGTGAGCTTAACGAGACTCCAACTTCAAGGAATTTGGTGCCGATTGAACCGAAAAAGACGAGAATAGCCTTCGTCAAGCCTTATTTTCGGCGATGCGACAATGCAAGTGCGCGTTGGCAGCAAGTGAAAACATTGTATTCCAAGGTTCTGTCTAACAAGGTCGGTGACCCCCACCGGCCTTCTACGCCATGCACATGCAACGTGTATACCAAAACGCCACCCAATGCTCGCTATATATATGATACAATATAGATCAACTACATTTGGCCCCTTCACTGTTACCCATCATCGTTTTGCTCGTCGTCTTAATGATGCTGATGACCATAACGATACCTCCAAATGCCGCAACAGCCCCAGCCAAGTACGTCTTCCAGCTTCTTTGGCTCAGCTTCATATAGCAAAGGGGCGGCAGGATGAAGGCTAATGCGCATGCAGATGTTGCGCCGAACAACTCGAACACTATACCGAGATCGCAGGTGAGGAGGGAGAGTGTGAGGGCGGAGACGACGAGCGAAGTCGTGAAGATGAGATGGCGGTTCGGGTGGTACGGCTCGTCTGGAAACCAATAGTTGGTCATGACTTCTCGACATACAAAGGCTTCGAGCGGAAGCGTAGTGAGCATGTTGAGGCCGAAGCACAGTCGCGCGATATTGACCATGAGGTTATCATTCGGAAAGTTATTCAGCACGTTGCCCAGGGTTTTGTCTCCGAAGGTCAAGTAGCCTGTTAGAGCCATGACAAGACATGCGACTAAAGATATACTGGTGCTGTAGTGTGTAACGCGTGTAAATCGATCGATCGTAGGTTTGCGGAGGGACCCGTAGATGAGGAGGCTGTTGTGATGGCAGACGAAGGCGAAAGCGATTACGCCAATTGCTTCGAAGATGCCGGGGCGGATGATGAAGTTGCCGCGGAGTTGGCCCTTCAGTTCGGCGGGTACGCGGAAGGCTTGCGTGACTACGGTCACTATGATGATGGTCATGCTGACCAGTGCTAGACCACTTGCTTTGGCCAGCTAAGAATTGTCAGCGCAAATATGAGGCGGAACCGCGAATATCTTACCTTGGATATATCCCGATAGAGCGATAGTGGAAAGGATATGCCAAGAATGAGCAAGATCATGATGGCCCGTCTATTAGTCAGTAGCCAGAGAAACGGCATGTCTGCTAAGGAAGGGAACATCGAATCCAAGACCCTTGGTATTGTATCTCCGACTACGACGCAAAACGCGACCATGCCACCAAAAGCGCTGTATGCTGTCAATACCCTTGCTGCTACAAGTCGTAGGGTGAACATACAAGAGCCATTGCGCGAGAGATATCGCTATCAACCCCGATTTGCCGAAGCAGTGTTGTACCGTGGCTTGAAACGAATCGGTACCGCTGAGCTTGGAATTTATGACGATGAGTCGTATGGTCCAGTCTACTACGATGGTGAGGCCGATGAGGAGGGCGGTGCCTGTCACGAGGCCTGCGTTTCGAACAGCGTAAGGTTGGCCGATGATGCCAGCTCCTCTGCTTTGTGTCAGCCCTATTCCACATTTTCTTGTTCGACGGCATACATTATACTGTTTGCCATGTTCATGAACGCGCTGCGCATCCCGCTCCGTGGTCGCGCATTCTCGAGATGGTCTTCCGGATTGAAGGATTCTTCGGCGACTGTGACGCTCGGCGCCTCGATTCCAGTAAGCAGAGGAAGTCGCTGCGTTCTTTCCCGCCCATCGCCGCCATCCAAGTAGTCGTCTCCCTCTAGCTCGAGCCAGTCGCCGCCATTGTTGTCTCCATTCATGCTCCTCCTGGGTTCCTCGAAGCGCACCCGATTTGGCGTTCTCGGTGCGCCATCGGGCCGGGCTTGTGCGAACGACGACTGCCGCTTAATGTTGCCATTCGGGCGTGACCCGGGTGGTGCTGGAGACACGGAGGTGGTTCGCGATGACGAGGGCGATGGAGACAGGTGTCGCGGACTTGGTTTGCGCTCGTGTTCGGGTTCTGAGTCGCTGTCGGAAGGATGCTCATGCAGGAGCTTCTGGCTTTCGCTCATCGTGGCATTGTCGAAGTTCAGGGAGGTTTGCAGCTTGAATGATCGTCGACATGTCATTCCCGACTTCTGACATCGGACATTGGACCCCTGTTTCGCCACTAGGTCTTATCTGGCTTAGTGCTCATCTTCACTTCCGGCGAGAATTGTGGGGTGAACTTGGCTGAGGCATCAGCATATCATTCTTGTACGCGTTCGATCATTCGCATTGCACTACATATCTCTGCTATCTATGCTTGAGTTCTCCCAAGCTCAAGTCGATGATTGTACCCTGTACATCTGTTGTGAGATCCCCCAATGCTGTTTTCAGGTTACATATATGGTAGTCGTTACGTGAATGGTACCATTTAGTCGATTTTATATTTCGCACCTGGCCGCAAAGTACGCTGAAGCTGAACGGGATCTCAGGTCGAGGCTGATCAAGACCCAGACGACATAGTTCCTTCATCAGACTTCCGAGAAGAACAGAGCCACACTGGAAGGACATGTGAGAATCGTCAGTGTACCGGCAAGTATAATCTATCGCACGATACATCTCAAGACGCTTGTAAAGCGCTTCGATAAGAGACTCAATTGCCAGGTAACGCCTTGTGTCGATTGCATCTGTTGTGCATAAGAACATGTCTGTGGCGTTTTGTAAACTCACGTACCTGATACTATCGAAGGAATAGGGAGATCGAACGTCCTGAAGGGCTCAGTGATTTGCCTTATGGATGTCGCCGTGGCGTTCGTGAAGTGCTCTTCAACATCAAACACCCATGCAATCCAGATCCACAATACCAGATCTCTACAGTGCATTTGGGGTAGAGATCCCTTTGTAAGCTCCCGGATCCACACCTCAATGAACACATCGAGGGTCTCTCCGAAGCTGTAGTAATCCTCCAGCACAGCTATTTTAGCAAGCATTTCCAAGGGCACTTCCCGTGGAACCAGCTTGTTGCGACCATGGACAATTCGCAAAACAATAAGGAAGGCTTCGGCATCCCAATCGTGAGCCGTTGTGTGGTAAAGACCATCGGCTTCGTTGCGAACAGACTCGGCGAACCCGTCCTGTGCTAACATTCGCTTGAATGTGGCCGACGCAAGTATCAGGTGGCGTGATGACACATGGTAATGGATTGACTCCTCTTCAGGCTCTTCCGGTAAGATTGGTGACGGCGTATAATGCACACCAGAGGACGGCTCTGCAAGCGCGGTGGAGCCTTCATCCAAGGTATACATGCTGCTATCTTCAGGTGTCTCGACAAGTGCAGGTTCTTGACGAGGTGAAGGTGAGGGAGGCTGTGGATGATCGACGTCATCTGGCGGTACTGGCACTTCAGACATGGTTGGACTTCATCGTTCCTCCTCCAGTTCCCAGGGCGCAAATACCTTGCACGGATTCTTGAGCACAATGACTGTATCCGGATCCGGATCGATGATGTGAACGATGGGCGCCATGACCGGTCTTGAGGTTATGTAACGAGATGAATGGAAGTATGTCTAACAAGCAAGTTGACTGGCAGGGTGGGCGTCCAAGTGAGATAGCTAAGAAAGAAGAATTCAAGACTTCATCTGACCGCAAACTGAAGTAGGCTGACGCTTTCATGTCGCTTCAGCACACTGCGCATCCATTACATTGACCTACGCATGATATCCAATAAAACATGCAGGATCAGCTATCAGTGCGGAGTCGTGCAGCGATGTGTTTGTTGTTCAGCGCCAATCCAGCGGAACAGTTGTATCATTGGAGGCTCGCGTTACACAACGCCACTGAGCTGCATCGCCAATACATGCGGGATAAGACATGCATGCAGAGGACGGAATACGGTGCGAGGAATGATTGGATGAGATCACATAGCACTGCGAACGCGCAACCGGCAAAGGCGTATTGTAGTGGGTTGAGATTCTGGGGAAGCGCATAGAGAAATACCAGTTCGACGGCTAGCAATGAGATGCGCAACTGCCATTGGCAGAGGTCATGACTATGTCTTCCTTCCTATCCTCTCCTCCTCCACCACACCCCTACAACGCCTTCCTAACCGCACTCTTAAACGGAATAATCTGCATATCCTCCAGATTCCACACCCCCTCTTTAACATAAACATCCTGCTTCAACCGCTCCACAACCTCCTCCCTCGTCTTCGCGCCAATGAGGCACGCTGAGCCCTTCATCTTGGGTGGGCCCGTGTCGCCTTCTTTGATGGGTTCCTCGAGCATGGCTCCTGTAGAGATATACAATTAGCATGATCCTCTTATTCAATGCAATACTGCCACAGGTGTGTGGGATATCCAACGCGAGGTCAGTAGACTTGTCATGCCACATTGACCTGCCACTTATACAAAGACAATAACGGGCGTGAACATACCACCCCACAACCACATATCCTCCCTATCCGCGCTCAACCCCTCGAGATGTTTCGGGCGAGCCGCAATCCGTTTCTGCAACGCATCCTTATGATCAGGCACGATGATGAGCCATTCTTGTAGTGGAGCTGCGGTAGAGGATGCCATTGTGCGGTGTTGGAACAGCGGTGCGTATCTCGATGATGTTGTTGCGAGCGTAGATGCGATGACGGGACGCAAGGTGCGGAGAGCGAACATATGTATGTGTCGTAGCAAGTAGGCGAGCGTGTGGGGCTGCGGCTACGAGAGCGTGGGAGTGGGAGAGCTACGAGGAGGTGCGCGTGTTAGCTTGTTGGTAGGGGGAATTGAGCGGAGAAAGGTACGTACGGTATGCAGTACTTCAAAACGTGGTTTATAGAGGTACGCCGAGTAGTATGTAGTTCCAAGGGCGCGTGTTGGTTGTACTGTTGTAGGGCGCAATGTGGGGAAGATGTAGCTTCCTGTTCGGAATTAAGCCGCGGCTTTCGGAACGTGTCACGCTAGTGTTGGAGCGTGGGGGAATTGAGGACATCACGGTGTGGGTGAAACTCAATTGCTGCGGAAAAATCGTGTTCTAAAGAACGTTTGTGTTCGCTACATACAATATGGCTTGACAATAAACACATCCAACTCATAAGCTCGTACCCCTTGCGTTAATCCAAGCGTACCTACGCGTAAAGACCACCAACGCCGAAAACAATCGGAAAGACCATATGCGTAAGAGCGCTGCTCTTACCTAAGCCCGCCCTGCAGATGTACATTGCAGTGCTTAACCACTGCACATGACGCAGGACTCAGGGTTCTCTATCGAGCAAGCAAGGGCGGCTTCAGCATAGATGTCACCATCCCGGTCCTCGCTGTCATCCTTGGAGTCCTCATCTTGTTTGTCCTTCCTGGTGATCTCCTCGTCCGGCTTGACGGCTGCATCAGCAGCTACCATCTTTGGGCTCGCGCCCTCCTCCACATCGGCCTTGAAAGGCTTGCTTGCGAGAGCGTTGCGGGTCTCTGTGACAGGCGTTGCGGTGGCCTCTGGGGTGGCATCTGGGGTGGGAACACCGTTTTCCTCCTCTTTCTTCTCCTCACCGTTGGTAGGCTTGGTGGCATACATTGGGCGAGGTGCTGAGGATGGGGTTTGAGAAGCAGTGACAGGTGAGTGTCGAATAGCCTCAGGCTGGAAACCCGGTTGCTTTCGTACCTTGGGCAGAGCACGAGCAACGTTGGTGTCTACGACGTTGAGGGCCTCTTGGTCGACAGTAAACTGGATAGGTGCTGAAGCAGCCATGGTACGGAGGTAGTACATGCCAGTCTTGAGGCCAGCCTTCCAGCCAGCAAAGTGCATGGAAGTGATCTTACCCATGGTAGGCTCCTTCATGTGGATGTTGAGAGATTGGGACTGGTCAATGAATGCACCACGGTCAGCGGCCATCTCAATGATCCTCTTCTGCGAGATCTCCCACACGGTCTTGTAGAGCGTCTTGGTCTCCTCGGGGATGTTGGGAATCCTGGCAATTGAACCGCCGTCAGCGATGATACGGTTCTTCATGTTCTCAGACCAGAGGCCCATGTCGACGAGATCCTTGAGCAACCAGGGGTTGACAACCTGGAACTCACCCGCGAGCACACGGCGAGAGTAGATGTTGGATGTGTATGGCTCGAAGCACTCGTTATTGCCCAGAATCTGTGATGTAGACGCAGTTGGCATAGGCGCAATGAGCAAGGAGTTGCGTACACCGTGCTCAGCGATCTTTGCCTTCAAGGCAGCCCAGTCCCAAAGGTCCGTAGGTTCGACACCCCACATGTCATACTGCAGTTGACCCTGAGAGACGGGGGATCCCGGGTAGGTCTCGTAGGGACCAAGCTCCTTTGCGATATCGCATGAGGAAGTGAGAGCAGCGTGGTAGATGGT